GCGCTCCCGGCGCGTCAACCTCGCTCTTCTCCTCGGTCCCCCAAGGAGCCCCGCAAGCTCAGCTACGCCGAGGTTTGCCAGAAGCCCCCGAAGGAGCCGCCCGCGGCCGCCGTGCAGCCCCTGCGGGAGCACCGCGCCAACATCGTGGCCCCCGCCAAAGCCGAGGAGAACGGCCCGGCCGACAGGGCCACCGACAAGGGCCCCCCCGAGAAGGCCGAGGGTCGCACGAAGGATTTCTCCGGGTTCCGAGGCGGCGGAGCCCCCAGGGGGGGGCCCGCCGGGAAAATCAGGGAACAGAGGCGCCAGTTTGGACGCAGATCTTCGCCTCAGGGAGCCCCGCGGCGCGTCGGGAAGGAGCAGTTCGTGCCGCCGCGGTCACCAAAGTAACGCCGGGCCGGCCGGCGGATCCTCTGTTCGGTTGGAGCTGTGGACTGAGGAGCAGCAGAGACTTGGGAGGAGGAGGAGGAGGAGGAGGAGGAGGAGGAAGGATTCGGGAAGGGGAGTTCTGAACTGCGGAGCGTGGCTTGCGTTGGAGGAGTTGTGGAGAGCGGGGGGGGTCCCAAAATTCATCTCTTAATAAGAAGCGATCTCGCAAATGCTGGAGGATTCCAATCACTATAAATATAGAGATTATAATTTTTGTATTTTTTTTTTTTGTTTGTTTTTAATTTGCAGAGGGTTTCCTGCTTGAAAAATCGGTTTGGGGGCTTTGTGAAAGTAGCGTTTTGACCGAGCGAAAGGATCTGACTTGACGAATTAACCTGTCCCTCGGCGTAGGAGGAAAAAGGATAAGAGAATTATTATTTTTGAAAAGGAAAAAAAAAAAACAAAAAACAAAAACGGATAATGAGGATTTCTGTAAAATTAGAACTTTTTTTTTTTTGTTTTTTTTAACCTATTTAACATTTGGCTTGTGGGCTGGTGTGTGTGCCATGGATGGCCTTGCACTGCAGACCCTCTGCAGCGGCGTGAGCGGAGCGAGGGCAGCCAGAGCTGTCGTCGTCCCTTAGTCCCTGATGATGAAAACTGAATGTACTGCTGTAGTAAACCTTGTGTTTCCAGCTTGGAGTAGAGTCCCTTGACCTTACTAATAATTCGTTCAGCAAGCTTTTTAAAGTGTAATTTTTGCAAGGATACTGGACTTGTAGATGAGATGGGGGGGGCGTGGACGGCAAAAAGCGTCTTGGAGGAGGCGGAAGGAGCACGTCAGAGTTTTTAATTTGCCCTTTTTTTTCCTCGCCTCCTTTTGAGGGCAACTTCTTAGCTTTGGGGTTTTGTTTGTTCACCTTTTTTTTTTTTCTTTTTTTTTTTCCTTCCCCCTCTCTTGTTACTTTCTCTGATTTCTTTATTACAGACTTTAGTGCATTTTTCCTGAGGCAGGCCCAGTGTAGGACGGACAGGTGGCTCCCACAGCACCTTGTGTGGCTGCACAGGTAAAAAGAGCCCGGAATTCCGGCTGCAGATGGGGAATTCTGCCTTGGCAGGTGGGAACTCTGGGCGCTCGCCATCATCTCTGGGTGGCTGGCAGCAAACCAGGGCCGGGTTTGCTTTGTCCTGCCTCTGGAATGGGCTGTTGGCCTCCAGAAATCAGGGTTCTTAACGTCTGGGGAACTCGTCGTTTACAGCTGATGTAGTAGAGACTGACTCGTTGTGACTGTTCAAAGTGGAACTAAAAGTGAAGAGTTAAAACCCCCCTCTGATGCTCAGAGAAGCTACTGGAAAAGGTGGCACCTTGCCAGCTGTGTGCTGACTGAATTTGCAACACTATTGTGCAGTAAGTGGTTAAGTTTCAGGGTGATTAATGACCGAAATAGGAACATTCAGCGCATTAATCTGCCAAAATCAGCATGCCAGGGTTCAGAGTTCTGTATAAAGCGTTGGGGGAAAAGTAGCTTCCAGCAGTAAGAATCACATCTTTATTTTTTTCCTCCTCTTTTTTTTTTTTTTTCCTTGTTTTGTTTTGTTTTTTTTTTGTTTTAGTGAATAGCAAGTGTACAAATTTAAAGTCGTAAGTTGTGAACACTGGAAAACTCGATTGTGATATATTCCGTAACCATCTTAGTAATAATATATGCTCGTGTTGCCATAGAATGAATGTAAGTGGCAGTTAAAATAACTGTGAAACTTTTTCATCTTCTGAGTTCTTAGCCAGATAACCCTCGGCGACTTGGGCCTCAGTAGGAATTCTCTATCAACTGCTTGGAGAACACTCATATCTATTTTTATAAATATATATATAAAGCCAGAGTTGTCATTTCTCTAACTTATTATTCAGCTTGGCAATCGCTTTTGAGTTGATTTCATTAACACGATATAATGTATTTCTGCAGTTAACTGTTCATTTCTACGCATGGGATTGTCGATAGAACCGTAGAATAGGCTGAGTTGGAAGGGACCCGTCAGGATCATCGAGTCCAACTCCTGGCCCTGCCCAGGATTCCCCCCCCCAAAAATCCCACCATGTGCCTGAGAGCGTTGCCCAAAACGCTTCTTGAAGTCAGACAGGCTTGGAGCTGTGACCACCTCCCTGGGGAGCCCTTTCCAGTGCCCACCCACCCTCTGGGGGAAGAACCTTTTCCTGAGATCCCACCTAAAACCTGCCCCGACTCAGCTTCCTGCCCGTCCCTCCTGTCCTCTACTATGTATACATATATATATATATATAAATATCTAAAAACCAAAACCATTGTTCACTTTGAAACTACCTGTACTGGCTTTGGGAGGTTTGTTGTTTTTTTTTTTTTTTTTTTTTTAAGTTAATTTTAATTAATGGTCACATCTGCAGTTTAGGGGTTCTTCCAAACCCTTCTCCCTTTGCTGCGCTGGTTGGAACGACAGGGAAGCTCGAAACATTGCGAGTGTCAGAGCTCTGAAATGCCATGAAAATGAAGAGTTGGGGTCGTTCTCAAGGCTCGTGAACTGTTCCTGCAGCCAAACTGGAACGGAGGGAACCTGTGGGACGGTCACAGGCGTTTGGGGAGATGTGCCCTGATGCCCGTGGCTGATCCAGGCAGGAGCTGTGTGGGAAGGGGCTGCTGCAGGTGTTGATCAGAACCCCCTGATCCATCTGCTGGAGGGACCTGGGGGTGCTGAGAGGGCCTGGGTGGGGAGATGTGACTCCTGCGCCTGTCAGAGGTGGGGAAAACCCAACCAGCTGCAGTTCAGCCCCGGTGTGGGACTGGGAAGGGATGCTCTGTGTGTCCTGGGAGTGCAGATCGTGGCTCTTGTGTGTGGATGCAAGTCAGGCAGTGACTGGGCTGTTCCCAGCATATCCCAGCTTCTCTCAGCTTGGGGTGCCAGGAATCATTTATTTCGTAGCTGATTGCAGGGATTTCACGGGAGCCTTTCCCTCCCACCTGTGGTTCGGGGTTTGGTTCTTTTCGTCCTTTTCCACGCAGGGGGAAGTTCCCAAATTGACACTGTAGTGGGGTGGGAATTGTGCACCAGGACTGAGGGACTGGCTCTTCCGTTCTCCTCCTCAGGCTGGGCCTCGAGTGCCTCCCCACCAGTTTGGCTGTTTGGGACAGACTGGGCAAACTGGGACAAAGCCAAGGTTTGGAGCAGCTCAGGGGTTGCACCGGAGCTGGATCGTGGTGTCAGCAGAGCTCAGACTGTCCCTGTCACACTTGGGGTTCCCTCTGGGGGGATGTGAAGGCAAATTGTCCCGCTCTGCTTGGCCTCAGATACCAGGAGGTGCAAATCCCACGCGAGGTGGAGTTTTGGGGGCTGTGACTCGTTTTCAGAGGTTTGGTAAAGGCAGAAACACCTCCCAGCTGAGTTTCTTTTCCCAGAGAAGATGGGGCCCCTCTCTTGTGCTTCTGCCGGGGAGTGAAAAGAGGAGGAATTCTTTGCATGTGGTAGATTAAAAGTGCAAAAAACCCGTTCTATTTCTTTGGATTTCTAACGTTGAGTTAGTTTTAAATAGTATCTTACATTCCTGCTCTCGTTTTGTTTTTCTTTTTTTTTTTTTTTTGTTTGTTTTTTCCCTAAATTAGCCTGGCACAGTTTTATGATGGTGCAGTTCTAGCTGTAGGTTTTAAAAAAATATTAAAAATATATTAAAAAAAAAACAACAAAAAAAAGAAATAAAGTAACCCACTTATTAACCAGAAGAGAAAGATGATACTGTGGCAGATCAGTAGCAAATAAGTGACTTAATCAATGCTTTACTGTAGTTAAATAGCTATGGCCTTACTTCCTTGTCGATAGCAGCTTAATTGTCTTGAAACTGTCCGCGATTTTTACTGTCCCCAGGTGGGTTCCCCTGGGCTGAGATATCTGGTATGTACAGATGATATTTTAAATTTGTAAAATGCACCCTTGTATTACAGACGATGCAACAGAAATGCACTTCGGGGGGAAACGGCTTCTGATGAG